TTATTTTCTCATTGGTTTTTCCCTAATGACGGAATCAGGTCGTTACAGAAAGCCTCTACTTATGCTAAAAAAAATTACATTACTTGTCACATATTATAGTTTGGACTTGTGACCTTTTTGTTTTTAAAAATGATTTGCTTGTTATTTAATTATATACAGTTAATAACACTATTTTTGTTTCTTTTTGTTTACGAGTTTCTTCAAATGAATCAAATATTATTTTTTCCTTTTTTTGTATTAGGCTTTATGCATGTCAGTGTATATGTTCTCAAATAATTAAACAAAAAAAAGTTCATTAAAGAATTCTTCTCAAAAGGTAATATTTTCTATTCTTTCTCTTTTCAAATTTGAATTGAATATGGTGTTTAATGTGACATGGCATGTCAACTAAAAGAGAATCATTTTCATTTTGCTATTATATTTTGAGGAAGAAAAAAATAATTGAGTGATTTTATAGTTTTAAAAAATCAAATATGATTTTAATTAATAGACCATCTTCTAAATATAAATGACTATTAAGGAAATTAACTCAATCATAACATTACTTGTCTATAATCTTTGTAGAGAGGTAAGACTCAAGAGTCTACACAAATAGAAAATATATTATTCATTTGCTCTTATAGATAAATAATTGATTTGTATAGTTTTGAATATATAAATTTAATTATTTTTTAATTTTAATTAGTTTATTCTTATAATCCTTTTTAATCTGTTTCATAAAGAATGTTTTTTTCTTTTTCGATCTTTTATTTGACTTTTTTCATATGGTATATTAATTAAAATTGTATTTTAGTAAATTATACATATCTTTAATTTATGGCTATATACATGATTTAAAATTTTTATTTACTTTATTAAAATTCTTATTAAGTCAAAGTTAAAAAAAGAAAAAAGTTATTTTGGATCAGATCAACTTAATATAAATTTAATCCAATGCAAGTGTTTTAATGCAAGTAGATAAAAAATAAATAGTGGCACCTCTCAATGGCCAAAGATCCTATTTATCTTTTTTTGTGATTTTTTTTGACATTTTTTTCCAATTATTTTATTTTATAAAATCATCTTCTCAATCCATACCTCTTCAATTACATAAATTTAAATCTTAATTAATTTAGTAATGTTTATAACTCCTAACCTTTCATATTCATAACCTTCAAATTATTTAATATACAATTTATAACTCCTTAAAATGACACTTATAAAAACCTATTTTGAGACATGTATAATAATTACCACAATAATATTGTAATAATAGGAACAATTGTATTAGTGTTGTAGAAAATTATTCAACTCTTTGTACTTTTTCTTCATCTTCAACGTTGCATACACGTATTCTTTCTTAAAAATTATTTCTTCTCATTACTGCTAATCTCTATACGATTAAATTATGTGATTTATTTTTTTTTATTTTTATTGTAAAAGTAAAACCTCAACAGTAGTGTTTCACTAAAGCAACTTAATTAATTCTCTCTTCTCGCAATGTAAACTATAAGAATGAAAGTTTAAATATATATTTTTTAATATTAATGGATCTTATGAGACACAAATATGTAGTAAATAAATGTCAATACGAGCATCAGATATCAAAAAAAATTCTCTAACTTTTGAATCTCAGGCATAAATATGTTCGAGTATAATTCAAGTATTTTTTCCTCACCATGATTTACCACAAATTTATTTTGATTTGTTTTTTATTATTATTATTATAGAGCCATTTATACAAAAAAAAAAAATCCACATAATCTATGATCGAGTAGATTTAGTATTGTTGTTTGAACCAATAATATTACTATAAGAATCATTGAATTTAGTATGAAACTATGATAATTAAATTGTTACTTAACTGAAGCTTTTCATATCAATTTTTATGTTTTCGTCTTTTTATCAGCAATTTTAAATTGAAAATGCAGCATGAGATTTTTTAGCAATTTTTCTGAATAGATAATATCAGAATCATAACTTAATCTGTATATCTCTCTTATATTATATCATTTATTAATTATTTTAAAATATATTTAATATCTTTATATATTCGCGCGAAGCGCAGACAAGTACACTAGTGATGGAATAATAAAAAAAAATTATAATTTTATAAATAAAAAAATAGAATAGAAAATAATATGACTTGCCGGTTGATATGAAAGAAACAATTAACAAAAGATAATAATTATAATACATGTAGGAATTTTATATTAAAAAAAATTAATCAACTACACTCGCAAATTTGTTTGTGTTTTATGCGATTGCAAAGTAACCTGTAAATTCATAAAAAGAAATTATTATAGATTTAATAGAGACTGAAGAATAAATTTGATGTATATGCATCAAAAGAATAAATATTTGCTTAAACAAAATTTGACTCATTGCATAAGTCGCTACTATTCTCACTGAGTATGTTATTGTTCTTCTTCTTGCATAAGTTGCTATCAGCGTAATATGTTCTCTGAATATACTACATGTAATGTCTTCATCATCATCTACAACAAAAGTTCAAATAAGATTAACATAAGGGAAAAAAATCCTAAAAATCTATCAATAAATTAAACAACATACAGCATATATAACAAAAGTTCTAATGATATTAACAAAAGAAAAAAAAAATCTTAAAATTCATCAACAAACTACATACAAAATAAAAAGAAATATATTCCAACAAAGGAATACACAAAGTTAAAATGAACTTTAAGAATTCTGGCATCTTAAGCCTATTGAGCCAAACATTTTAATTTAATGTCATTTCTCTCCAAAGAAAAAAAAGAAGGCATTGAATATTTTAATTTAATGTAAAATTAAATTTTTTGGGGATTATGAATATAAAAGGATTGAAAGTTATGAATATTATTAATACTAATTAAAAGTATAATTTATGAAGATGAAGAAGTGTGAGTTATGAAAATAACTTTTAAATATAATGTAGTTGAGAAAAATCATATATCATATATATAAAAGAGAATCTTAGGTCCGCCTATGTGGCACCACCACAAACCAGAATTCCCTTTTAATTTATTTATTTCCAAAACTAGCCTTTCCCTTTCATGAAAAGTTGTGACATTTATGAAAAGTTGTGACTTTAATGAAGAGTTACGACGTTTATGAAAAGTTGTGACTTTTATGAAAAATTGCGACTTTTTATGAAAAGTTGCGGCTTTAATGAAGAGTTGCGACTTTTATGAAAAATTGTGACTTTTATGAAAGGTTGTGACCTTTCCAAAGGGTTGCACCTTTTCCAAATAGTTGTAACATTTTCGATAAGGCACAATAAACATTTGTTTACACTATCCTTTGTTGTTTCCTCTCATTTTAAAACAACGAAAATTCTGAACCACTTCTTCTTCTTCACAATTAAATATTTGTGTACTTTGCTCCTGTTATGTGGCTCACTAACACCATTGCTTATGTTACAGATCCTGATATGTATTTTTACAGTCATTAATTTATGTTTATGTTATTAATGATAAGATGTAATAATTTTCATTTTCCGTTACATTAGTAATGTTTGTTACTACGTAATCTTGTATGTAAGATAATATAATGTTTTAATTTTAATGACTAATAGTTTTTAAGTATTATTTTATAAATTTCGTGATATTAAATTCCCGCACGAATCGCGGTAATTTTACTAGTTCAAAAAAAAAGAGAAAAAAAGAAAAATGACAATAGAGGCCATAGAGAGCGCCACATCACCGTTTTGTCATTCTCCTTTATTATTATACTAGTAAAATTACCCGCGTTTCGCGCGAAAATTTAGTATCACGGAATTTATAAAATAATACTTAAAACATATCAGTCATTAAAACTAAAACACTATATTATCTTACATACATATTACATAGTAACAAACATTAATAATGTAAAGGAAAATGAAAATTATTACATCTTATCATTTAACCTTAATAACATAAGCATAAATTATAAGATAATGATTGTAAAAATACATATCAGGATCTGTAACATAAGCAATAGTGTCAGTGAGCCACTCAACATGAACAAAAGTATACAATATTTAATTGTGAAGAAGAAGAAGAGGAGGAGGTTCAGAATTTTCGTTATGTTAAAATGAGGGGAAATCCCTCTATTTATAGACAACAAAGGGTAGTGTGAACAAATGTTTCTTGTGCCTTCTCAAAAATGTTACAACTATTTGGAAAAGTTGCAATCCTTCAGAAAGGTCACAACCTTTCATAAAAGTCATAACTTTTCATAAAAGTCGCAACTCTTCATTAAAGTCGCAATTTTTCATATAAGTCACAACTTTTCATAAAAGTCACAACTCTTCGTTGTCACAATTTTTCTTTGAAGTCGCAACTTTTCATTAAAGTCACAACTTTTCATGAAAGGGAAGGCTAATTTTGTAAATAAATAAAAATTCTGATTTGTGGTGGCGTCACGTATGCGGGCCTAAGATTCTTTTATATATATATATATATGATATGATATATATAGATTGTTTTCATCTCCTATATTTCTTATCTTATTTTGTTTTAGTTTTACAACAATTACTAATATATCATGATATGTATTTCCCGAATTGGCATACACGTGCGGCCCAACTAGTATATAGAATGGGTGGTTAACGACCAAATTCATTGTAACACAATTATAATAATTTATTTATGCAAAAAGAGGCTTCCTGAGGATGGAACAAAAAAGTGACAACAACTATTAAGTGCATTAGCCGTCAATGGAGTTCGTTTTGTCGCAGCGATTTGTCCCTTTTGGTGAAACCCAATCTCAATTGTTCGTTTTATTAACTTGAGACTCCGCATATCAAGGCTCTCTGTCTCTCTTCTCCAAATGTTTATAGACACCTTATGTTCATGTTTTCAGAAGCCAAATGAAACTTTCATAGTGAAAGACCTTCATAACCATAAGGAGAGATGATGTAATGAAATGTGTCGAATAAAAAGTTCTTGATGCAGATGCATTGCATCTAAATGGGTTTTTGACTGATAAATATAGTATTTTCAATTATGATTAGTAACAAGATAGTAAGAACAGTCTGAGGATTTACAGAACCGCAAAATTGATAGTGTCTTTTATCACACATTAGTCATAACACAACTCTGCCTGGTGATATGCCTCACCATTTCTTTCTGTCTAACAGAATAGCCAGAAATACAGGTGGATTTCAGTAGGACACCGGGGCCTTCTGCGCTAACTTAGCTACTTCATGCAAAACAATGCTATACGAAAACCGACAGCCAAAACCAAAAACAACACATCTCCAATCTGGGAGACAAAATGAGGGTTTTCTATTACAAGTCTACAGGACATTTACAAAGTCGCATAGCTCTTATGGACATTCAACCGCCAGAGCTACACAACTGAAAGCACGAGTGCATGAAACTGACGAAAAAAGAGATAGTGAATAATGTAATGACGAAAAGACAGCCAAAAGTCAACCCTGACACGGTTTGCTGAAAAAATAACCAAATACAAACAAGAGTAATCAAGTTAGCTCACAGTTCAAGTAGAGAATTTCCAGGGCTATGTTGGTTGATCAGACCTCAGCTATCTCGACCAAAAACTGGAAAATATACATCAAAAGAAGCTCGGCAATGGTAAAGAACCAAAATCAATAGCTTCATCTTCATCGACTAGAGCGTTAATAAAAGATAGGACCAGACTGCATGGAAGAAATCATTTTGATCAGAAAAGAAAAACAAAGGCCCTTTTAAGTAGCATGCATGTTAAAGTCAACAAAAATATCAGCAAGGAATACAAGGCTTATAAATGTTGTGCCTGAAGTATTTTATACTACTCAATATGCCCATCCTTTTGTCTAGCAGGGTATAATCAAACTTTTTTCTCAAGAATTACGATGACACCCATTCCTTCCATACTTGACAGGATTTTGCACAAAGAGAACATCATGAAAGTGCATTTGCTATTGAAATCATGTCAAAAACAACTATCATCTATTCTGTTCAGAAATTTGATGCAAATCTTAAAATTTGAATTAGAACTATGCTATGCAATAATTTACATACCAATGACCACATAGCGACTTCATACTTTGCTTCATAAAAGGATTCAGAAAAGCATACAAAAGAGGAGAGCTTTTATAGCTGGGATTTCATCTCTACAGGTAACTTTATACGTGCTTCTACCATTCTCTGAATGAGTTCTTAGTTGAACAAATAAATATGAACCCTGAATATTTTCTTACTTATTTCTCTCTCTCTTACATATATATAACTTTTAACCCTCTATTTTGCTGTCATTTGTCAACTAGTTGTACCTGCAATTGTATCCATTCATGTATAGAACAAGTAGGGATCCAATGTAGTGTCATAACCAACTTATAAAGCATACAGTTATGTATCTCCACCCCCTCCTCCCCCCTCCTATATATATATATATATATATTAGTAATCTTCATTCCCGAACATTGGGGTCGGCGGAATGAATCTCAATATCATAAATATTCTCATTGGGTTCATATTATTTCAATACTCAGCAATTATGGATTATCTAAAACTTTCTTTTCTATTATATATATATACATATCAATGGCGGAGCCAAAAATTTTATCAAGTGTGTTCAAGAATATTTTTTTTTTTATAAGTGAGTTGAATGTTATTTGTTTAACCTAGCGATTGTACCATGAACAATTCCAACAGTTGTTACTATCAAATACAAACAATCAAGTTTGTTTTTTTTCCCTGATGCATTGATTTTATGTAATCAAAAATATATGAATTATAATGTGTAAAGTGAATTACTCACCATCAAATATTTTTTTTCTTAAAAAAAGAAAGAAGATAAAACATATGTATCAATTTTAGCTTTGGGTTTAAAGTGGTTAATATATATAAGCACAAATTTTTAATGTCAAATATTATCCATTTTGTTTTTTTCACCCTTCGAAAGTGCATTATATGTTAGATAAAATTAGAAATACAAAATATATATATAATAATAAATTTCAAAATCAAAATAATTTATTCATATATGTTAGTGGTTACTCTATATTATTAAATTATTATTTTTTTTGATAAAGTAAAGTTTACTCTATATTATTAAAATTGCAATATTAAGAATTAAGAAACTTGAGGAACATTTACAAATTTCAGGTAAATTAAAATTAATAAATATATTTGTTTGATGCAAGAATAATGGTGCGAGTACAAGTGTAAGGTTGTGACCTGCTCTCAAAAGAAACAAAAACTGTTATGCACTCGGCAAGATTTGACGAGAACTGAAAACAAATACCCTTAACCATTGCGCCAAAGGAAGAGCTTATGTAAAGGGTGTTCAACATTAAATATATATCCCTTAAACTTAGAATTTGACCTATATACATAGTGAAATTTTCTGGCGAAAAGTGTTCATCTGACCACCCTTAGAAGGTTGTAGCTCGGGCCCTGATATTTACTAATGGCCTAACCCATCAATGGCCCCCCTAAAGTTGACACTAATTTTCACTTAGACACTCCAACTATACTTTGTTCATTTTAGACACCTCATGTGATGTCCCGTTGTGTCATTTTGACACTTTTTGCTGACATGACATAGTGAGTGTGATACAATCCTTACCAGCGCGTGGAGAGCTTATATTTAACCTATTTTTATTTTATTTTTGTCTTCTTCTTCCCCATTTTAGCCACCATTTTTCAAAACTTGAACTCCTTCCATGGAGAAATAGATCTAATAGTGCTACAACACCAAGAGATTTCAAGCTTAAACAACTTTTCTTATTTTGTTGCCATTCTTCCTCCTTGAAATGTTTTGAAAAAAATCAAAATATATTTTTTTAAAAGAAAATCTAGGAAATTCTTTTAGGGAACTCTTTGTTTAGATTTGAATAATTTGGTTTTATTTGAAGTTATAAGTAAGACGAATCAGTGTTTGTAAAGAAATTGTGCTTTTGGAAAATAATTCTTTTCAAATAGTTAAATTACTATGAAAGTAGATTGGAGAAAGACAATCTGGATTGGGGAGAGGTTGAGGTTGGGGTTGGGGGGGTGGGAGGTGGTGGAGAAAATGCATTGAGTGTGGGAGGGGTAGGGGTTGTGGACTGTGGAGAAGACAATCTGGTGGGGGAGGGGTTGAGGATCAGGGGTGGGGGGTAGTGGAGAAGACAACATAGGATGGGATTGTAAGTGGTTAATTTTTTAAAAAATATTATTTGGATAAAAATTGCCACGTGTCATTGAGTCATTGGCCTTTTTTTTAAAACTCAAAATTAATTATTTAAAAATTATTTTCAATATATATGCCACATGTCTTTGTTTAATTCGTCATTTTGACACGTCATCGGCGAGTGTGTTACACATGCCTTACATATTTGGCTGATTATAAAAAAAGTGTCAAAATGACACACCAAAACATGACATGAGGTGTCTAAAATGAACAAAGCCTAGTTGAGGTGTCGAAGTGAAAGTTAGTGCCAACTTTAGGGGGCCACCAATGGGTTAGGCCTTTACTAATACTAGAACAACGAATGTTTGAAGAGCTTAGGGTCAATCGATCAATTGACCGATATGTCCTCCTCAAATTTCCTCTATTTTATGTATTTAAAAATTAACAAAAAATATTACTATAAATTACAATAATTAGTATTTTTTATTTTATTTTCTTTTTTACTAAATTATGAATTTAAAAATTATTAAAAAATAGTATCATAAATCACAATAATTAACAACTTAAAATATTTTACTATGTATTAGAAGAGCGAACATTTGAGGAGCTTAGGGTTAGTCGGTCAATTGACCGATTTGCCCTTTTCCTCAATTTTCCTCTATTTTATGTATTTAAAAATTAACAAAAATTAGTACGATAAATTACAATATTTAGTATTTTTCTGTTTATTTTCTTTTTTTTGTATATTATGCATTTAAAAATTATTAAAAAATAGTATTATAAATCACAATAATTAAAACTTAAATTTTTTTTAAATATATTAAAAAATTGATGAACTTTCAAAATTTCACTTAAGTCACATAAATTGAACCAGAGGAGGTAACATATATAACTTGAAAATTATGTTGACTAAAATATTTTAAAATGTATACTAAAAAATTGATTAACTCTAAAAATTTCACATGTGCCACATAAGTGACAAAATTAACAACTTAAAATATTTAAACAAATATATTAAAAATTAATTAACTCTCAAAACATGACATGTGTTATAGATATTATTTAAAAAGTAAGTTAAAAATATTATAGAAATAATTAACAACAAAAGTTATTTAAAAATTTAGTTGACTCTCCTAATTCTATCTATGTCACATAAATTAAAACAAATAAAGTAATATATATAGGGCCCGGGCTTTCCAGGCTTTTGTATCTAGTATTTTACTATGCTTCAATCCCAAACATTGAGGTCAACAGATTGAATCCTAATATCATAAATGTTCTCTTTGGGTCCATATTATGTCAATACTCAGCACTTGAGGATTATCTAACAATAGGGAATCCCTAATATATTCTAGTGGTTATATCTTTAATATGCTAAGAATCTTTTATTTTACTAAGAATGAGTATTCTAGTTGGTCTCACATTTACAAATTTCCAACTACCATTGTTTTCTATCTTTTGCAAGATCTATCGGGATTTTGAGTATTCCATATCTTTTGAGATATCTTTATTTAATGTGATTTTATATCTGTTTCTTCCTAATTTTAACACCTTTGATCATCATGTTTTCACATCTAAAAATTGATGTATGTAACACACGACAAAACCATCTCAAGCGATGTTCTCTTATATTATCCTCTACTTTCACCTTCTTACAGATGTAATCATTTATGATCTTGTATGACTGCACATCTATCCTGACATTCGCATTTACGTGACACATATCTCGTGGATATATTCAGCTTCAACACTCTCATACACCATTGATGGCCCTATAGTTGTTCTATACAACTTATCTTTCACTTTCACTTTGGTAGATATCTTTCCTATTGCATAACACTCTCATGGCACTCCTCCCTTTCAACTATCCTACTTTAATCCTATGTTTCACATCTCTATCCATCATTCCATTCTCCTAGAATATTGAGCCTAAATATCTAGTTTATATACATTTAGGTACCTCAATACATCCAATCTCAACTAAACTTTTCTTACTTTGTTGGAAAACCATACAATGCATGAATTTTATCTTACTTCATTGAAACCCTTATTAGTTTCATCGATTAAACAAGGTTGTCAATAAAGAGTATACACCATGGTACCTCATCATGTATATTATTGGTTAGCTAATCCATAACAAGAGAAAATAGGTTGGGGCTTAGCATAGTTTCCAGGTGAAAACCCAGGGTTGTGAGGAATTCCTTTGTGTCTCTTACCACCGTTCTTACACTGGTGATAAATATAAATTCTTTTCCTTTTCAATACCCGCCAAAGGACGCTTTTTGACACTATCATATGACTTCTCTAAGTCAATAAATTTCATGAGTAGGTCCTTTTTCTACCTATAAATTCCATCAATCTTCTCCATAAAATATAGCCTCTTATAGACATACCAGGCACAAATCTAAATTGGTTCTCTATCACACTTGTAGTGGGCTTAAGTCTCCGCTTTATTATTCATTCGCATAGTTCTGTTGTATGGATCATAAGTTTAACCCCCTGATAGTTAGCAAAACTTTTTGTACCTCATGTGTTCTTGTA